GCCTCAAGTAGCTGGGAGTACAGACAATGTACTACTACACCTGGCTATTTTTTTTTAGACACAGGGATCTTGCTGGGACTACAGGCATGTGCCACCATACCTGGCTAATTTTTCTATGTATTTTTTAGTTTGCCAATTAATTTCTATTTTTAGTAGAGATGGGGTCTCGCTTTTGCTCAGGCTGGTTTCGAACTCCTGACCTTAAACGATCCTCCTGCATCCCAGAGTGCTAGGATCACAGGTATGAGTAACCGCGCCCAGCTGAGACTCTATTCTTAATAAAAGATCATATGCATATGCATATGTCAAATTATAGGTAGACAGCAAATATTAAAAATGAGTGAATATATGTAAAGGATGAATGACTATATATGACTATATGTTATATTCTTGTAACAACTTTTCTATAGACTTGACATTTTTTCCAAGTCAACCACATTAAGTCTTTGGCCTCCCAGAAAGCTAGGATTACAGGCGTGAGCCACCTCGCCCGGCCTCCCAGCACTTTCTGATTTGAGGCTACCCCCAACCCCCGCCGGCAGGTCCTCTTGGCAAGCTCATCCTTAGACCCATCAGCTCGCTTCTCCCTGCCCTGCAGTCCTGGAATGGGACTTTTCTGGCCCACGATTCGCAACTCTCAATATCTTCAAACCCCAGTTCAAGCCCACCGTCCCCTAGTTAAGCGGACCTGTTCACATACCACCACCTCCTCCCTCTACGCTCAGCCATCCATATTCCCAGGCAGGCTACACAGAAGAAGCTATGGGGGCAGCATTAGGGTGTGAGAGCTACTGCATGCAGATTTTGAGAAAGATTTCTACTGACAAAACTTAGGATAGGACGAAGAAGTTTATTTACTTTTTCCTAGGTGGAGATAGGGCCGGAAAAAGGGCCAGCATGGAGGTGGAGAAAGAAAAGCAGCTATTCAGACTTTTTAAAGGGAGTGGTTGTAAATTAGTGGGTTGTAAATTAGTTGAGAAACTGCTGCATCCACTCCTGCCTTTCTTCTCAGAGGCAAGATGATAGCAGCAGCAGCAGCAGCAGCAGGATGTCCAAGTCTAAGAGTTGGCTCACCTGCCTTTCCTAGGAGAGGGGATTATCCCCGGAGGTGTGACTGTGCCCTTGAGATATGGCTGAGGTCTGAAGCTTGCACCCTGCTGCTCACTCGGGAACTCTTTAGACTTTAGAAAAGCAGATTCTCAGAGGAATTTTCAAAGAGAGAGAGATTTACCACCTCTCTTCCATCTGCTCAGCTCTTGTCATAAGTTGTGCAAAACAGAACTCCTACATGATACCTGTTAGTGAGAGAACTCATAGGATTGATTGTAGGAATCAAAAACTCTTACTAGGAAATTGCAGGATTAGATATTTTCCTGTTTCCTGTTCATTTTGCAAGGCCACACCTTTCAGGCAGCCCTCTTACTCAGGCCTATGTGATCAGAAGACAGTGGAGGAGGCTGGGCCTTACTTCGTCCTCCAAGACAAGATCGACTAGAGAATAAATAAAACATGCAGTTCAAACCCTCTCATTTGCTTGATGAGAAAACTGTCGTTTCTGACTTCATTGTAGTCTGGATTAATAGTTAAACATACAGGTCTTGAGCTATCAGGCCAAGCACTGGGGTTATTAAATAAATAGATATGGCCCCTGCCCTCAAGGAATTGGCTATCCAGCGTGGAGAGATACCCACAATTGTACGAGGGACACAGAGCCTGGAGCAAGGTATTTGACCTCACTGTGTCCCAGTTTCCTCACCTAGAATTGGGGATAATAATAGTACTTATCTCAAATAATTGTTATTAGGATTAAGTATTTGTAAAATACTTAGAATAGTGCCTGTCACAGAACAAGCAATATTTAAACATTTGTTAAATAAGAGATTTCAATATAATGCAGTGACTACTAGGATAGAAAGTGCCACAGGAGCCCAGAGGCCATGGGAGACCAGAAGGGACACTGATCTCACTCACTAGAGGATTCAGAAGTTTCCTGCAGAAGGTAGTAACTGAGCTGAGCCATGAAAAATGAGGAGTTAGCCAGATAAAACAAGCTGGAAAGGGCACTGCAAGCAGAGGAATGGCTTATGCAAAAACACAGAGACTTATAGATATCTACAAACTCTTGTTTCCTAGAATATAAAATGGAGATAAAATGTGGAGGGATGAGCTCACGTCAGACATAGAGAAACTTTCTGTATCTTTTAACAGGACCTGGACTCCATCCTATAGATGAGGGCAGCCTAGAACGCTAAGGAGAGTGACATAGTCAGATCTGTGCTTTGGGAAGCTCCCTCTGGCTGCTAAGGACAGGAGGAGGACAGGCCTGGGGCAGGGAGATCAGTCAGGAAGCTCCGTCATTATCCATAGGAAAGGATAAGACAATGGTGGCAGGAAAAAACAGGAGAGGAGAAATGCAGGAAGATTTAAAACATAAAATTAGCAGGATATGGCAATGCACTATATATGAAATATAACAAGAGGTCTAAGCTGACACCGAGGTATCTGGTTGGGGTGATTATGTTGAAGGATGGCAAAGTGAACTAAGATTGAACATACAGGAACCCCCGAGTGAAAGGTGAGGAAATTCATTTGGGGTGTGCTTTATTTATGGGGCCTGTGAGACATCGGGAAAGAAATATGTGGAAGGTGAGGGTTAGGGATAGAGATTGGAAAGTCATCAGGACAATGAACAGTTGTTAGAACTTTAGGCAGGGGACAAAAGTGGCTGAGACTGCACAAGGACAAGACGGAGAGAGGAGCTGAGGGATAAGGAAGGAACTCAGAGACATGTGACGGACAAGGAGGAACCCCTAAATTATCCTAAGAATAATGGTCAGGATGGTGTCTAGATAAGCAGGAAAAAGTGATGAGGCAGGGAGAGGCTTGCACTATGGACAGACTGAGGGGAAGGGGCTTCTACATTATTCTGCCTCCCTGGAACTGGGGCAAGAATAGGAAGACAGTGAGTCTGGTGCCGCGGTCTTCAGTGAGGGAGCAGGAAAGACGTCCGGATGGTGGAAGCCAGTGATGAGGAGCATGCACTGTCCTTTCCCAACTCTTTCTCCACCTTCAACAGCAACCACAAACACCTGAGCACACACAAGCTATTTCTCACCTAGATGAGAAACAGCAAGATTCTCCATTCGCTTCCCTAACACCACTCACATCAGAAGTGCCCTGGGTGGAAAGCACCAGCCTCTTCTCTGAAAGCACAAACCTTCATTCTCACCTGCTGGGTTCCTGCTTTCGGGAGGCTCTAGAACCATCTTCCTACTTATTCTCTTCCCAGACTTCTTCAACCAGTCATCATCTGACCAGACTGTAAGGGAAGAATCAAAAGAATGTTAAGAAATTCAAGCTATCAGCCAATTGCTAATTAGCTACTCACATTCAGTTCTGCACTGCTTCCATCAGCAGAGTGAACGCACTATGTAGGCTCTCACAGCCAGAGGAACTCCCCAAGACAAATGTCAGGCCCTGAAGTCCAGCTCTTAGCAGAGGCAAATGAAAGTAAGGAGGAAGGACTAAGTCAAGCCAAAAGGGAGATCCTAGCCAGTGTCAAGACTGAACAAGCATAGTCTATGTTGATGTCCAAAAGCTAGACTTTCACGTGGAAGAATGCCTCTAGCTTGCTGAGAATCTCAAATTCTTTATTTCCATGGAAGTGTTGTATTCTCTTCTCCACTATAAACCACTCTACTTGTGTTTATACCACTACTACAACAGACAGTAAGACCAGGATAAAATGCAGCAAAGGCCAAAGGATATGATAGGGAATCTGTGAGTTGCTCCCACTCACCTGGTCTGGAAGAACTTTCCATAATTCTCATTGGTTTGGTCGAACTGACACAAATTAATTCAGAAAAGACTGATATAGAACTCAGCTTCTTAAACCCCATGAGGTTAAAAGAATACCCAATAGCATTCCATTTACTTCTTTAAAAATTTTTTTTAATTCATTCATTTATGTATTTATTTTTTTAAATGGGGTCTCAATATGTTGTCCAGGCTGGACTCAAACTCCTGGGTTCGAGCAATCTTCCCACCTCAAGCTCCTGAGTGGGTGTGACTATAGGCACATGCCACCAGATCTGACCTCCATTTTCTCTAAGAAGTCTGAGATGTGCTCAGGATTAATTCCCAGCCCAGGAGCCTGTACCTCCTAACAGCAAGCTAAGCACAAAAAGTAGCCACAAAAAAGCCCTTGAGCCACCATACACTTCCTTTCCTTAATACCAATACACAAGAAGGCCTGTGCTGGCACAATTTTTGGATTGGAGTTCAGGACTCTCTGAAATTCTAAGTGTAAATGGAGTTACCAAGAACCTGAGTCCACCTTAGAAAGTCAAGATTAGGCTGGGCATGGTAGCTCAAGCCTTTAATCCCAGAATTTTGGGAGGCCAAGGCAGAAGGATTCCTTGAGCCCTGGAGTTTGAGACCAGCCCGGGCCACATAGTGAGACCGTTTCTATAAAAAAAAACAGAAAAATTAGCCAAGTGCAGTAGTGCACTCCTGTAGGTCCCAGCTACTTGGGAGGCTGAGACAGGAGGATCTCTTGAGCCCAAGAGTTTGAGGTTGCAGTGAGCAATGATGACGCCATTACTCTCTAGCCTGGGCAACCAAGTGAGAGCCTGTCTCTAAAAAAAAAAAAAAAAGAAAGAAAGAAAATAAGTCAAGATGAGCTTTGAAACAGGTACCTTGCACATAGTTAAGTGTTCAATAAATATTTGTTGAATAAAAAAAAAAAGATGAGCTTTGAACTGAAGAAAAACAGTTCTTGTTGATTGAACATATTTGATGAAAGAGTAACAGAGAACATGGAATGAAATGCAGAATTATCCAAGAATAATTAATATTTGAAAAGCTACATTAACAAAAAAAGTTTGCTTTAGGCCCTTTTGTGAGAACTAAAAGATATATCAAAAAAGATTCCTTAATTTAGCAAGATTTAGGTTATAATTACAGCTTTGTCGTCCTTCTTAGAAACAAGGATGGATCAGGTACTAGTTTTATTTCCAGCAATTTAAAAAAATGATAGCATGAATTATATTCTCGTTTCATATTTAGTCATGAAGATTGATTGTAAAGATAAAAGGGGGGGCATTTAAGGATTTTGTGGTAGGCAGATTGGCCCTCCAAAGATGTTCACAGTCTGCTCCCTGGAACCCGTGTGAATTATATGGCAAGAAAGAATTAAGGTTGCAGATATAATTAAGGTTGCTAGTCAGTTGACCTTAAAATAAATTATCCTGGATTATTTGGATGGGCCCACTTCTTTCTTTCCCCACACAGGGTTCTGCCCTGTCACCTTGGCTAGAGTGCTGTGGTGTCATCATAGCTCACTGCCACCATGTCTGGCTAACTTTTTAAAAAATATTTTGTAGAGATGGGGTCTTTACATGTTCCTCAGGCTGGTCTCGAACTCCTGGCCTCAAGCGATCCTCCCACCTGGCCTCCCAAACTGCTTAGGATAATAGGCATGAGCTGCTAGACTCTGCCTTCCAATGTAATTACAAGAGTCCTATATATGTTGAAAAAAGAGACAGAGATTTAGTTTCAGAGTGAGGCAGTGTGAGAAAGACTTGAGCTGCCATTGCTGGATCTGAAGATGGAAGAGGCCATGAGCTAAGGAATGTGGACAGGCTCTAGAAGCTGGGAGAGGCAACAGATTCTCCTGGGGAGCCCCCAAAATGAACACAGCCCTTCCTACACTTTTGATTTTAACTCAGTGAGACCCATTTTGGACTTCTGACCTCTAGAACTGTAAAATAAACTTATATTGTTTCAAGTCACCAAATTTATGGGAATTTGTTACAGGAGCAATAAGAATTCAAATTTCTTTTGAAGCACCCAACCTGTCACGATCCTTGCAGATTTTCTCTTTCACAGTTGTTCATTGGTTTAACTATACAACGGCCTAACTTTTGTTGTTTTTTTTTTTGAGACAGAGTCTCACTTTGTTGCCCAGGCTAGAGTGAGTGCTGTGGTGTCAGCCTAGCTCACAGCAACCTCAAACTCCTGGGCTCAAGCAATCCTCCTGCCTCAGCCTCCTGAGTAGCTGGGACTACAGGCATGCGCCACCATGCCCGGCTAATTTTTTCTATATATATTAGTTGGCCAATTAATTTCTTTCTATTTATACTAGAGACGGGGTCTCGCTCTTGCTCAGGCTGGTTTCAAAACCCTGACATTGAGCAATCTGCCCGCCTCAGCCTCCCAGAGTGACTAGCGTCAACTAGAGTAGTTTCCCATAATCACTCTCATACACTTCATGAAACCCTGCCTCTTACCCGAGATTCACAAGTTGACCTTGCAATCAGGTTATATTCTATCTGCAGTACACTGACCTAGACTAGCAAACTTTCTGTAAAGGGCTAGACAGTAAATATTTCAGGCTTTGTACGTCAACTATAGTTTCTGCTGTACATTCTTCTTCACACCCACCAATCCTTTAACATTATAAACATTATTTGGCTTATAGGCCACAAAAAACAGGCTGCAGGATGGATCTGGCCCACAGGCTAGTTTGCTAACTCTTGTGACAAAAACAAAACAGTCAGGTAGAGATTACCTAACAAAGATGGCTGGTATTTATGCAAATGTTAAATGGAGAGGATGTCTGATTAAGAATTAATTTTATAAGTAGTCAGTTCATAGTGCATGCTTTCGAGTAATGACAATTTTTTCTTGCTATATAATTTTGAAATTGTAGAAACTAGAAATACAATATGCACATGAAGGTTCATTCTTCTGAAAAGTAGCACCAAATAATAGCTTCAGTAAAAAACAAAGATCCTAACCCATACCATGTTGTCCACAGCTGTTGCAACATCCTGCCAAAAGAAGACAAAGAAAAAGTGCATAACTATAGTTCAACTCTTCTTATAGTTAGTGCTCAAATAAAAACTCAGGAGTGACAAGGAATCAAGATGGTGGACGAGAAACACCGCCAGACAGAGTGTCTCTGCAGAAAAGACAGATTCTAGCAGAAATTAGAAGAAAGAAGCAAGAAGACGAGCATACATTGGATGAGGGTCGGAAGAAGGGGTATCTGAGACCACAGGAGACTCCACAGGAGGAGGTTGCAGAGGAGAACTGGAAGCAGAGACCTCCGGAGCAGCCTGGAGACCAGCAGCAAGGGTAGGTAGAGTGATTAACTCTCCCCTCCCTTGCATCTCGGACTGCTCGTGGGCGCCCCAGTGGGTGGAGAGACCTGCGCACACCAGCCCAGAGACGGCCACTGCCAGTGAGCGGTAAACCTGTAGCGGACGCGGCACCAGGCTCCCAACTCCTGCAGAGCACTTCCCTGTGCACAGACCTGAGCTGCGTGGCAGGCGCCATATTGCCTCATTCTCCCATCCTCCGACCCTACCCGCGACTGCCGAGAGAGACAGTATAGCTACCAGCTGGAGACACCTCCAGGGAATGGGACCTTCCCTCTTGGGGCCCTACAGCTGACTGAGGGGAACTCAGACGGTGAGCTTCCCACTCGCCAGCCCTCCCAGGAGCTGCTGGCCCAGTGATCCCAGGAGAATGGGGCAGACCCTAAGGCTGAGAGACATAGACCCAGCTTGGGCTCCTCGTGGGTGAATTGGGACTGGCACTCTTCTCCCTGGTGGGGATATTGTTTGAACTCTGGGGCCCAGAGGTCAGACCTGCAGACCAGATCCCATGCACCCAGGTCTCACATTGCCCGGGACACAGAAGGGATATACGTGAACAGCCTACTGAGGTGTGTGTGCCTTCAGAGGCAGATCAGCATCCTAGAGGGTAACCCTCCTCCCAAAAGGAGGCCGTGCGCCCAACCCAGGTGGTGTTCCTGCGCAGGGAACCTCCCCGCCAGCATCACAGCCAGGGGAGGCCCGGTAGCGTGAGGTCTGGCCTGCTGGCAGACACCCAGGAGTAGCCGTGGAGTTGGGGACGGTGGAAAGAAGTGAGGCCTGCTCCAGACTGCAGGTCTCAGACAGCCCCACCCCACAGGTAGACTTTCTGACTGAGAGGGGCCATTCCAGCCCCTCCCTGACAGCCTTTCCTGGAAGCTGAGAACAGAACTTTGACCCCTGCTAACGGCATTGGTGGTGCCTGAGGGCAGGCTTACCCAACCCAGCTCTGCCCAGACTCACTCCCAGACCAGCCCTCACTGAGTGGGAGAAAAGGACACACCTGGAAGTCCCAGGGCCCCACCGACCACCTGAGGCACTAGAGTGACTCTCCTGGGGAACAAGAGCTGGTCACAGGTCACAAAAACAACAGCATAGCCTGTTCCTCCAAGCAAGCGCCACCTACTGACAAGGAGGACATCCTGCACACCCTCTTCACGGCACCTACTGACTCATTATACAGGGAGTGGTCGAACCTCACCTACAGACACCACTTACCGGCTCAGAAACTAAACAAGGCGTGTGAATATGCAAACGAAAACCTAAAGGAAAGAAACAACAACTGATCGACATGGGAAGAAATAAGTGAAGGAACTCCGGAAACATGAAGAACCAAACGGAAACCACACGCCCAAAGAGAAGCACCAGCCCCTTAGAAATGGACACCAACCAAAATCAGGCAACCAAAATGACAGAAGAGGAATTCCAAATGTGGATCTTAAGAAAATTCAACGAGCTGCAAGAACAACTCAGTAACCAACACAAAGAAACCACAAAAAGCCTCCAGGACCTGGAACAAAAGTTCACTAAAGAAATCGATACAGGGGCCGGGCGCGGTGGCTCACGCCTGTAATCCTAGCTCTCTGGGAGGCCGAGGCGGGCGGATTGCTCGAGGTCGGGAGTTCAAAACCAGCCTGAGCAAGAGCGAGACCCCGTCTCTACTATAAATAGAAAGAAACTAATTGGCCAACTTCGAATAGTATATTTAGAAAAATTACGCGGCATGGCTGGGCGGCATGCCTGTAGTCCAGTACGTTGGGGAGGCTGAGACGAGAAGGATCGCTTGAGCCAGGAGTCTGGAGGTTGCTGTGAGCTAGGCTGACGCCCGGCGCACTCACTTCAGCCTAGGCAACAAAGTGAGACTCTGTCTCCAAAAAAAAAAAAAGAAATCGATACAATGAGGAAAAAGTTTACCGAAATCCTGGAAATGAAGAATCAATTCAGGGAATACAAATTCAGTGAAAGCCTCAAGAACACGTAGATCAAACAGAAGAAAGAATTTCGGACTTGAGGATAACACCTTCGCATTAATATAAATCAGTCACAGGATAGAGCAAGAACAAGAGAAAAGGAGCAAAGGCTACAAGAGATGTGGATTAGTGGAAACCTAATGTGAGGGTCATAGGTTGCCAGAAGGGGAGAAGACAACACGTCAAGGGGTGTGACAAGCTATTTGAAGAATATATCGGGGAAAATTCCCAGGTCTTGCTAAAAAATCTACGATATACAAGATTTTCAAGAAGCTCAGAGAACCCCTGGGAGTTAATGCAAACAGGAAAGACATGCACGACATACAGTACTCAGACTGCCAAAATATCAACTAAAGAGGCCCTTCTATAGAGCTGTAAGGGACGAAAGAAGCAAGTACATACAAAGGGAGCCACATTCGAATAACACCAGACTTTCTACTTGAAAACTTTACAAGCAAGGAGGATCTGGGCCCCCATTTCCGCTTCTGAAACAGAACAATGCCCAGCTTAGATCTTATTCCCTGCAAAACTAAGTTTTGTATATGAAGGAGAAATCAAGACATCTCAGATAAGCCAAGACTGGAGGGAATTCACCAAGACAAGACCCACCCTTCAAGAAGTACTCAAAACAGGTGTTACCCGAACGGATCAGCGCACAATAAACACTCATGATGTAAATCTCCAAAGCATAAGATCAAACCCGCCACTTACAATGCTCAAGAAGGAAAAAAGCAACAAAGTTCACCCAACATAATGAACAAGAAATTCTGTGCCCTTTGATCAGTTATCTCAATGAAATGTGACTGCGCTTAATCCCCCTCAAGAGACATAGGTGCGGAGAGATGGATAAAAAAACACAAGGCCAAGTATCTGGCCTCGCGCTTCAGGAAAACACATATAACCTGCAAGGAATTGGCCAGGCAAGAGATTGATGAGAAGACCCAAACGCAATCGCAACGCCGCAACAAATAAACAAAGGACCTAATGAAATTAAAAGCTGTCTGCACAGCAAAAAACTGTCAACGAGAGTCAAAGACAACCCACAGAATGGGAGAAATTTTCGCAAGCTACACATCTGATTAAGGGCTGATAACTAGAATCTATTTGAGACTCAGGAAAATCGCAGAAAAAATCAAACAACTCTATCAAAAAGGGCAAAGGACATGAATAGCAACTTCTCAAAAGAAGACAGAATAATGGCCAACAACACTATGAAAAAATGATAACATCTCTAATCATCGGGAAATGCAAATCAAACCACGATGGAGTATCACTTTCTCCAGCGAGAATGGCCTTTACAAAAAGTCCCCAACAACAAATGCTGTGCGGTTGGATGTGGGAGAGAGAGGAACACTCCTCACTGCTGGTGGGACTACAAACTAGTTCAACCTCTGTGGAAAGCAATATGAAGATACCTCAAAGTGATAAGTAGATCTACCATTTGATCCAGCATATCACTACTGGGCATCTACCCAAAAGATCAAAAGTCACTTTATGAAAAGCACCTGCCTCAAATGTTTATAGCAGCACACTTCACAATTGCAAAGCTATGAAACAACCCAAGTGGCCATCAATTCATGGGTGGGATTAATAAATGTTGGTATTGATTACCATGGAGTATACTCAGCTTTTAGAAACAATGGTGATATAGCCCTCTTGTATATTCCTGGATACAGCTGGACCCATTCTACTAAGTGAGTATCTCAAGAGTGGAAAACCAGCACCATGTACCCACCAGCAATTGGTATTAACTGATCAACACCTAAGTGGACATATAGGAGTAATATTTATTGGGGTCAGAGGGTGAGGAGAAGACGGTATGTTACCACCGAAACGAGGCTGTAAGAGAAGCGCAAACGCTGTTGGGGGGGATGGACATGCTTGAAGCTCTTACTCGAGGGGGAGGGGGTATGGGCAATATAAGTAACCTTAACATTTGTACCCCCATAATACGCTAAAATAAAATTAAAATAAAAAAAAAACAACTCAGGAGCATAAGCACACACGCAAAAGACACACTTTCTCCTCCTACCTGTATAGATTGTATATATTTAACAGAGCATGTACCAACTGCCTCTTGGAGCAGGTGGTGTATGGATGTGCTAATTAGGTCATGGAGACAGAGAAAACACGCAGGAATACAGAAACCAGCAATGTCAGGCCAGAGGGCTCAGGCATCTGCAGGACCTGTCTTGTATATTCTGACTACAAAGGAGGAACTTTGAGCCAGGCGTGGTGGGCCTTCCTTCAACCAGAACTTCCTATCTCTCTACACCTGTCACTACCAAGCCACTGCAGTAGGTTGAATAGCATCCCCCAAAATTTCACATCTACCAAAACTTCAGCATGGGATCTTATTTAGAAATAGGGCCTTTGAGGCCGGGCGCTGTGGCTCACGCCTGTAATCCTAGCTCTTGGGAGGCCGAGGCGGGCGGATTGCTCAAGGTCAGGAGTTCAAAACCAGCCTGAGCAAGAGCGAGACCCCGTCTCTACTATAAATAGAAAGAAATTAATTGGCCAACTGATATATATATAAAAAAATTAGCCGGGCATGGTGGCGCATGCCTGTAGTCCCAGCTACCCGGGAGGCTGAGGCAGAAGGATCACTCGAGCCCAGGAGTTTGAGGTTGCTGTGAGCTAGGCTGACGCCACGGCACTCACTCTAGCCTGGGCAACAAAGCGAGACTCTGTCTCAAAAAAAAAAAAAAAAAAAAAAAAAAAGAAATAGGGCCTTTGTAGATGTGATTAGTTAAGATACAGTCATACTAGATTGTTATGGGCCCTAAATCCAATGATTGGTATCCTTATAAGAAGAGAAGACACAGAGAGACACACAGAGAAGAAAGCCATGTGAAAACAGAGGCAGAGATTGGAGTGATGCTACAAGCTGAAGAATTGTGAGGAGCCACCAGAAGCCAGGAAGTAGCATGGACGATTCTTCCTTAGAGCTTCAGAGGGAGCATGGCCTTGTCAAAACCTTGACTCTGGACTTCTGGTCTCCAGAGCTGTGAGTGAATAAACTTCTGTTGCTTCAAGCCACCCAAGTTTGTTGTAATTTATTATGGAAGCCCCAGGAAATGACTACACCCGCCCAAACAGAGTGACACCTTCTGTAACCAATGATGAGAGTAACACTAGTCAAACACTAAATGGAAAATTTCTTACCTTTGCCAACTCAAATTCAACAAAAGAGAATTATTGGTCCTTGGTGCTTTCCTTCAAAAGCAGAATTTTTTTTTTTTTTTTTTTTGAGCAGAGTCTCACACTCTGTTGCCCAGGCTAGAGTAAGTGCCGTGGCATCAGCCTAGCTCACAGCAACCTCAAACTCCTGGGCTCAAGCAATCCTTCTGCCTTACTCTCCCGAGTAGCTGGGACTACAGGCATGTGCCACCATACCTGGCTAATTTTTTCTATATATTTTTAGTTGTCCAGCCAATTTCTTTCTATTTTTTTTTTAGTAGAGACGGGGTCTCGTTCTTGCTCAGGCTGGTCTCAAACTCCTGAGCTCAAACGATCCTCCAGTCTCGGCCTCCCAGAGTGCTAGGATTACAGGTGTGAGCCACAGCACCCAGACAGAAATGGGTTGTTGATATGTGAGCAACAGGAGGAAACAAGCCACATTCAGATGCCACTAAGAAAGTAAAAACCTGATTTGCAGATTTTTCTTGGTTTATTCAATAATGCTTCCAGAAATATGAGTCATTTTGTTTGTTTTAAATAAACATAGCTAAATAATGAACTAATTTTTAAAATTTTTATAGTATCCATTTTCTACCACCATGGAATTTAAGCCTAAAGTTCCTTTCCAAGCATTTTGGTATCTTTTGTTTATAAAAGGTTGCTTTCTGACAATCATTCATTCCAATTGAGCATTGTGTATACAGCATTGACCTTACTATGAAGTTAGGTGACAACTAAAGGGAGCACAGTCCTTGTCCTTAGGAGAAGTTATTTTAGCTGGGGGAGACCAAGAATAATAAGAATTACCAATTTATAAAACTCAGGAATAGAAGGGCTCCCCAAAAGCCAGTATTGCCCTTTTATTTAAGATTTGAAGAACTAAAGGCTCAGAGTTTGTGTCCACACAAAAAGTTAGTGGCAGAGCTGAGTCTAAAACTCTTATCTTTTAAAAAAAAGAACAAATAGAAACTTGCACTGTAATTGGGATACCAATTAAAGAAATACTCATCCAGGTAAGCAGAGGCCACGCTCCACTGCTAAAGCTGAGCTCCCCTCCCAATTCTCTGCTATTTAATAGCACAGCTGCCAAGAAGGGAGGTCTGGTGTGCTGGAAAGGTAGGGTACAGCTACCCAGCAGGTGGTATGAAACTACAGCCAAATCATTAAAGATTTTTCTAAGACTATCCTCCTACTGATTGCTATCATACAGTTATTACATTAATGATCAGAAATCAGGCCAGGCACAGTGGTTCACGTCTGTAATCCTAGCACTTTGGGAGGCTGATGTGGGAAGATCACTTGAGGCCAGGAGTTCCGAGACCAGCCTGGGTAATAGTGAGACCCTGGTCTCTACAAAAAAAAAAAAAAAAAAAAAAATTTAGCTGGGTATGGTAGCACATACTTGTAGTCCCAACTCCTAGGAAAGGCAGAGACAGGAGGATCCATTGAGCCCAGGAATTTGAGGTTGCAGCAAACTACGGTGATACCATTGTACTCCAGCCCAGACAACAGAGTGAGACCCTGTCTCAAAAAAAAAAAAAAAAAAAAAAAAAAATCAAAGCCCCCAAATGGTTCCAATGTGATCACTGTCTTCCCTCAAACTCAACAGAATATCAATCTCCATAAATTTCAGCCCAGAGCCACACCACCATTCTGGTCTTGCTGTCCTCAGAATATTCCTTTTCTATCACCAAGATAATAGTCATGGTGTTCTGAACTTCATTATATAGTAGCCATACATAGGATACACATGACTTAAAATTATTTCCCAAGGTCTTTTCCTGGCATCAGGGATCTGAATGTGAGAGACACATTTCAGTGTCACCTGTTTTACAATACAGTAGAATCAGGACATCTGTGCTATCTCCAAAAGGAATAAAAACAGCATGAACTTTGGTCCTTCACCCACCCCCTGCAAGCTCACCTGCAAGGAGACAGAGAGCATTCTGAATCAGTCTCTCCATACTCTTGGTGCAGCTGCTGCAACACCCTGTTAATATGAACACAGGGAGGGGAGGAACAAAGGGATACCTTTTTCGTATACCCTTTGGGTATACAAATCACTTGTGAGATACACTCCTTTCCCTATCCCTCTTCAGACCTATATCAAGCCCCCAGTTATAGTGAGTTTCCAAAATGGGCTCAATGATTCCAGTTTCTCTCTTCTATAGTCAACAGAAATGTCCCCAAGAAAGTACAAATCTGATTAAGTCACTCTTCTGCTTGGTATTCTCCAAAGAATAAAGGCCAATGCCCAAAGGACAAAGTCCACATTTCTTAGCATGGCATATACGACCTCCCTAACCTAGGATGTGCCCAACTCTAGCCTCTTTTCTCCTTGCTTTCACAATGCAAAGTATTTGCCACGTAGTGCCAGGCTTCGTCACACCTCTGGGTTTTTGCTCTTGCTGCTTCTCTCCATTCAGGCAACAGCCTTGCCCCCACTTTGGCTGCCTGGCTAATTTTGGATCTTTCAAACTCATCTCTGACCTCAGAGCATCCTAGAAATTTACCTTCCCCTCGGTGGATGGAGTGGCCATTCCTCATCCTCACTGTCATACAATTGCATCACAGCACTCACCAACCCACGCAGTGCGGCTGTTTCCATAATTTCTCTGCTATTCTGGGAACTCTCTAAGGTGCCAGGGCTGTGGGCTTTATGAAACGAACCAGTGCCAGAGCTTGGGATGAGGTTGGAGGTCACAAGAACATGCTGCAACCACCTCTCTGGGACTGGGGTGGAGAGTCTGAGCAGCGCCTACTAGCGCTGCACACCGAAGGGGTAAAGCCCTACAGGAGACTGGCCGAGGCAGCGGAGGGCTCATGGGTCTACACCCTGTCCACTGGCGCGTTTTGGGCTTGCTGCAAGGACCCCGCCTTGCTGCACGCCTGCTCACCCACGTACAGCGCCCTCGGAGGCTGCCATCTTGCTCCCAGCACTTCCGCCGGAAGCCCAAGCTCTGCCCCGCCCCCAAATTCATAACCGCTTTAACGGAGGACGGGGTCATCAGGAAATAGGGTCATTTACTTTAGAATGTGCCCTTAGATGTTATTTGAGGCAAGACCAGATCTTACAGGCAAGGACCCTGCCAAGAAGGGCGAACACACGAAAGAGACTGCAGTGGCCAGCGCGGTGGCTCATGCCTATAATCCTAGAACTCAGGGACGCTGAGGGAGAGGATCGCTTGAGGTCAGGAGTTGCAGACCAGCCTTAGCAAAAGCTAGACACCCCCCCCCCAATCTCTTATAAAAAGATATTATCCGGACAACTAAAATAAAAAATTTAGTCCAGCGTGGTGGCAAATGCCTGTAGTCGCAGCTACTGTGGAGGCTGAAGCAGGAGGGTCACTTGAGCCAGGAGTTTGAGTTTGCTGTGAGCTAGGCTGGCATCATGGCATCTAGCCTAGGTGACAGAACAAGACTGTCTCAAAAAGAAAACAGGCTGGGCACGGTGGCTCACGCTCCTAATCCTAGCACTCTGGGAGGCCAAGGCTGGAGGATCACTCAAGGTCAGTTCAAAACCAGCCTGAGCAAGAACCAGACCCTATCTCTACTAAAAATAGAAAGAAATTAATTGGCCAACTAAAAATATATAGAAAAAATTAGCTGGGCATGGTGGCACATGCCTGTAGTCTCAGCTACTCGGGAGGCTGAGGCAGGAGGATTGCTTGAGACCAGGAGTTTTGAGGTTGCTGTGAGCTAGGCTGACACCACAGCACTCTAGCCCAAGCAACAGAGTAAGACTCTGTCTCAAAAAAAACCACAACAAAAACAAAAAAGGGGGCTGCCGCAGTAAGCAGAAAAGAGAGCCTGGTAAGCTCAAGGAAGGTAAAGGACACAGAGGGCAAGTGGGCTGCAAAGGTGGGTGACCTGGCCAGTTTACCATCACTTGGAGGATCAAAGGAACAATGAAATACTGAGGATGTCAGCATTTTTGTTTGCTACTGTCATAGATCTTTCTCCTTAACATTTTCCCACTGCCAGAGGAAACCTTGTTCGTAGACTAGGGGACTGATCTGCTGACCTGCATGGCAAATCAACTGCTGGTAGATGAACAAGGGGACAGGACAAGCCCCAACCAACACAGTCCAGGGAGGGGGAGGGGGTGAGGATCAGCCAGGTTCTGTAGACCTTACCCTTTGTCCTTGGGGGTGTGCCAGCCCCACTCTGCACCCTATTTTCCTGAGCCAGACCAAGGTCTGTTTTGACTACACCAGACTTCCTCCCTGTTAAAAGTTAAATGGGGGCCAGGCATGGTGGCTCATGCCTATAATCCTAGCACTCTGGGAGGCCAAAGCGGATTGCTCAAGGTCAGGAGTGCAAAACCAGTCTGAGCAAGAGCGAGACCCTGTCTCTACTAAAAACAGAAAGAAATTAATTGGCCAACTAAAAATATATAGAAAAAATTAGCTGGGCACGGTGGCGCATGCCTGTAGTCCCAGCTACTCGGGAGGCTAAGGCAGGAGGATTGCTTGAGCCCAGGAGTTTGAGGTTGCTGTGAGCTAGGCTAATGTTGCAGCACTCTAGCCTGGGCAACAGAGCCAGACTGTCTCAAAAAAAAAAGTTAAATGGGGCCAATAAAATGATCCTATAACTGAATGTAATGGGACAAGATCATATTTAACAGTTCTTTAGCAATTTAGGGTAAGCATACCCTAAATTGTCTACTTATATGTAAGTCAGCAAAAAGGATGAGCAGTTCATTGGAATAGGTTCACTGGAACCTATTCATATCCTAATGTTACTTCCAGTGAAAACTGGAATTTATAGAATAAAACTGTGGTCAGTGACAAGGGTAAAACAGAGGCAGTTTATGGAGATTTTCTTTATTGAGAAACTTAAGACTTGGGTACATCAAATAAACCAATTTCTGGGGAGGGGGGAATCAAAACCCATAATAGAAAAAAAAAGTTAACACTGTCTGGGCCAAAGCAGAACCCAGAGAATATATTTGTATAATTGAAAAATCCTAGGCGCTTCATAATTGACCTTTTGATACAAAATGACCTATTAAATTTGTAATTCGTGGTTCCTGGTGTTGAGGTCCATAGGACAAGCTAGGAAGTCTTCAAACCTGGAGCTGAATTCCGTGAGGGGTTATTTGGCTTTTGAATCGCTAAAAAAGGAAAGTACCAACACCAAATATAATATTAATAATCAGAATTAATTTCATGAGATTGACTAAATCTTGCTGATAAAGGAAGGCATTCTATAACGGGGTTTCTCAACCTCAGTACTACTGGCATTTTGGGCCATACATACATTCTGTGGGGCTGGTCCTGTGCACTATACAATGTTCCAAGCAGCCAGGCCCCTCTACCAAACTTGACAGAAGGTTCCTGAACCTTAACAAGGAGTCATGGCTGAGGCCAAGTCAACCCCTACCAACACCAGGTCTGGCTCTTACCATGTGCTTCCTGGGCTCCGCTTTTGCTCATTCCACTCTTTATCTGGAAACACCCACCAACATTCCTAGTTAAACTTCACTCACCCAAAGCTCCAAGGACAGAGATCATAGTCGCTATGATAGAAATCACCTGGAACACATCCTGTGCAACAATCAGGAGTGTCTCTCTCTCCTACATTAACATTGACCCTTGACACCGCCAAGCGCCTCTCTGCCTACTGTTATTTCCGAACACTAGGCAGTGGCACACACCAACCCAGGCCAAGCATCAGGATGATGATGTCATAGAAATAAGGCTTTGGATCTGATTAACATGGAACTCCGTTACACCATCTGATCACTATTCAGACACAAATGTCTTGAGAGGAGATCTGACCAGGTGCGTCGTTTATGGAAAACTGCCCCTTTTCATCCCATAAGTCTGTACCTTCATAGTAACTCGTCCAGATTGACACAAAAAGTTCAGGGTAACGCTTGCACCAAGGCTATTCAGGATTAAATGGCAGAAAGCATGGCTCTGTCACTGGTTTTCTTTTAGGAAGACATTCTAATGAAAACACTGCAGAAAATCAATGTCCAAACATTAGTTTTGCGTGTGTAGAGGTAGCAAGCAGCAACAGCACCACTTTCTGGAGCTTCTTTCTTGGCATGATGAGCCTGTAAACTGCCCACAGCTTCCATCCAGCTAAGGGAAATCTGTGGGTCAGGTGACTCTGAGGACAGCTAAACACCCCTGCCGTGGCCCAGGCCCAACGGCAGACCAAAGCCAGACTTGTAGAGGCATTGATACTGTGGTTCTGGTGCCACTGCTTTTCAAATACTACATGGCAACAGCCCCCAATCCTCCGAGCTGAGAGTAAGTGCAAGGCTCCCGAGACCAGCTCACCTTGGAGCGGGAAGAGACAGGGGACTCCAGCATGTGCATGCAGTTCAGAGTTATCGATCATCCAGCAGAATTCCCGTTCTTCCAGGCCGGTCCTTGAATGCATTGTTTGGATGAGTGGCGACAAAACGTTCTCCTGTGCAGGAGGGACGGTGAAAACCAAATTGAGTTCTGGCGGTGGTGGCTCACGCCTGTATCCTAGCATTTGGGAGGCCGAGCGGGCGGATTGTAAGGTCAGAGTTCGAAAACCCAAGCCTGAGCTAGACCCTGTCTCTACCAAAAAATAGAATTAAATTAATTGACCAACTAAAAAATATATATACAAAATTGCCGGCATGGTGGCGATGCCTTAGTCCCAGGGCTACTTGGGAGCTGAGGCAGTAGGATCGCTGAGCCCGAGACTGGAGTATGTTGTGGCCGGGCTGACGCCGCACTCACTCGTAGCCTGGGGCAACCAAAGTGAGACTCTGTTCCCAAAAAAACAAACAAGCAAAAAAAACCAAATTGATCTCAGTAAAGGACGAGACACTGGTGTCTGTTGGGCACAGCTTCTAGATCTCTGACACGTGGGTCACTCACCCAACATCTGCTTCTGTTCTTGGGGGGGTGCTGCGGCCAGCATGGAGGCAGTCAGAGGCTCCTGCCCCTGCACATGGACTGCAGGCTGGGGTGCCTGGGAACCAGGAAAGGCAGGTTAGCACTGAGGAAAGGACGGCAGCTGACAGTGGTCGAACACCTGACCAGTCAACATGTGAACTCCTAACTATGTGAAGAGGAAATGGATGTAGTTGTCCTTGCTCTCAAGGAATTAATTGCAGTCCTTGAGAGGTGGAGGGGTGTGGCAGGGAATAGAATGATATGGACATAAAAACAACCAATCAATGAAAATGGCATGCTATCAGAAAGGAAAATGAAATGCATAAATAAAACCTATAATGCCAGGCAAGCATTTTCTGACATTTCATTTAATATACCCAAAGTTATCCAAGAATTCAAAATTTTATTATAAATAAGGCTACAGTGAATATTTATATGCATAGCCTTTCCCTGAAAATTAGTTTTCCTTTAGGGTGAATATGAGTACAGATTGGGTCAAAGGGTGTGAATATCAAAACATTTATAATTACATCCCATGTCACCTTTATTGTATCAAAGCTTAAAAACTGTCAACATGCAATGTCAATGCTAGTCATAGCCCCAAAGTAGAGCTTTGCTGAAAAAAGGTATTTAACAACATCAGGTTTCAGAAAACCTCCAACTTAGAGAGTATGGGGCAAGATGGTTAAAGAGTAATCTATCGGCCGGGCGCTGTGGCTCACGCCTGTAATCCTAGCTCTTGGGAGGCCGAGGCGGGCGAGGTGGCTCACACCTGTAATCCCTAGCACTCTGGAGCGCGAGGCGGGTGGGATTGGCTTGAGGTCAGGAGTTCGAAACCAGCCTGAGCAAGAGTGAGACGCCATCTCTACTATAAATAGAAAAGAACTGGCCAACTAATATATATAAAAAATTAGCCGGGCATGGTGGCACATGCCTGTAGTCCCAGCTACTCGGGAGGCTGAGGCAGCAGGATTGTTTGAGCCCAGGAGTTTGAGGTTGCTGTGGGCTAGGCTGATGCCAGGGCACTCACTCTAGCCTGGACAACAAAAGTGAGACTCTGTCAAAAAACAAAAACAAAAACAAATCGCTACTGATCTCTGAAGCAAAGTAGTAATTAATTGGCCAACTAATATATACAGAAAAAATTAGCCGGGCATGGTGGCGCACGCCTGTACTCCCAGCTACTCGGGAGGCTGAGGCAGGAGGGATCGCTTGAGCCCAGGAGTTTGAGGTTGCTGTTAGATAGGCTGACACCATGGCACTCACTCTAGCCTGGGCAAGAGTGAAACTGTCTCAAAAAAAAAAAAAAAAAATCTAAGCTCTGGGTCCAAACAGTCCCCCACCCTCTTGCCCCTTTTAAGCTGAACTTCTTATCTGTAAATTGAAGTTACTTCCTGCCTTGATGTACCAATCATCCTGCAGAGCAACCAAGGATCAAACAGGCCACTGGATGTGGAAGTAATTTGGAGGTTCAAAGAGCTGAGTAAGCACATGCATGTTATAAAAGGAGAGCAGGAAGCCACTTGGCTGCCTCTTCTGGGGCATTTTTTTTTTAATTAAAAAAATTTTTTTCAATCTCAGTGGGCTTTGTGATTTTAGAATCAGGCAATACTTCATTCCATAAAACAGAGTAAGTGTTCTCTCCTCTGGGGCACTTGTGCGTGAACTGTTATTAGGAAGAACACTTTCAAGCCCCTTTGTTCCTGGTAGTTCCCAGCCCCTGAAGGGCAAGGACAGTGTCTGTATCACCAAACAGAACACAGCCCCCTAACACAGAACAGGAACACCTGGTGAAGAAATCAAAGCAAAGCATCTTTTAAATTAAGTGGAAATGGGAAAAAAATCCTTTTAGCATCCTGTTCTGTGGACCTCACCTGCAGAGGCTGTATTGCAGGATGAGGGCTGCGGACACTGGAGGCGTATTTGTATGGTGCAACAGCTCTAGGAGCAGCAGCAGCAGCAGTGACAGCAGCACGAGGCGCTAAGTTCTGCACGGCTGTGGGAACGCCTTAGGGAAAGAACAAATACAATTAAAGCCCATCAGTCTGAGCAAAGACCCGTCAAATCCCATCTTTCCCCCTTCTGTGTGCATCCAATACCACCTCCAGACTGGCAGCTGTCAGTCAGCCCTTGCTGGGCGGCACCAGCCCCACCAAAGTCCATAGCCAAGCGGTCCGGGCACTCAGACCCTACAACAGACCAGCAAATGCACATCAGTGTTGGCAGCAGATGTCCAACTGGCCACGTCCCACGGAAGAAGAAATTTCAAAGCACGTTCACACAACACATCACGCGTGGGTCCACTACTGCTACTTTCAAGAATGAGCCAAAAGATAACACACAACTCTTTGCACATCTTGGAATGCAGGACATATCCTGCAAGAAACAGTTTTCTTGTATTACACCCTCCTCACCCCATTGAAGAATAGGCTGCCTCTACAGTCATCCAGTTTGCAATTTTCTACGATTAACTTTTATCACACGAGTCACCGATGAGCGAAGAATGTTAAAAGTAACACACACCTAGAATTCATATTGTTTCTCTGCTCCTGAAGTACCTACCTAAGCACACAGCTGAGATTACAGAACCAGGACTCAAACTTGAGCCCAACAAACTGACCAACCCAGGGCAAGGCCTAGTCATCGTGACTCCCTCCTCCCCGGGCCACACTTCTAAAGGCCAGTTTGCTCACCGACTCTCTGAGTAGTAGTAGGGAGGCCACGAGAGGCCGGAGCATTACCAGTTGGAGCCAGATGGCGAAGAGTTGGACGAGGCCCAGACTGGCGTATAGCACTTGGCATTCCTTGGAAGCCTGGTGAAAAGACAAAAATTGTGCATCACTGGCAAGCAATGTGGACCAGAACCTAGACTGCACCTTGGAGGGGGCAAGTAGGAAAGGTAGGGGAAACCAGGATAGGTATATCATGGGTGACCAAATCATTGTTCCCCACCACCTACCTTGAGGTCTCCCGCCTTGCTGCCAGCGTGGATTAGGCCTCATCTGTGCTAACTGGTTAGGTGTATAATACGGAGGTCTTCCTTGAGCCTGTGAGAAAGAATACCAAGCCCTTTTAAGGGCCTAAACCCACACCAGAGAAGTATCTCATCTCACTCCAGGCCCTAGGCTAACTATTTGGAATAAAGGCTCCCTATACTCAAAAGCCAAGAGGTCAGTTAATGGGGAGTATTTTACTCTACTCCTGCCACTAAGTGTATGTATGAGTATGTGTAAGTCCTTCCTCAGTTTTACTTGAAGGGTCCTTACTCTGACATTCTAGAACTCCCATATCCAAAAATCCCTCTCCCTTACTGTAGAATACAGGAACAGCTGTCAGTAGGCAGGTTCCAAAGAGCCGTGACCACAAAGCAGACCCACCTGTGGGACTGCTGGCACAAAGTAGCCACCAGCTGCAGGCTGGAACTGATTTAAGATGGCATTGGCAGGGAGTGCTCTCATTCCAGCCACCCGCTGCATATATTGGTTGGTCAGGTGAGCCTTTCTCTCTTCCTTCCTCTGGGCCAGGGCAACATACAGTGGCTTGGAGCCCACGATGCGTCCATTCATCTCAGTGACTGCTTTGGTTGCCTCTTCAGGAGATGAGAAGCAGACGAAGCCAAACCCTTTGCTTCTTCCATCTTCCAGCATCACCTACAAAATGAAACCAGCTACTTAAGAAAAAAGGTGTCCGTGTGTGTGTGTGTGTGTGTAGGGGGGGTGAGGGGTGAGTGGGGGTGGGAGTAGCTATTCATAAGAGCCAGAAAACCTGGATCCTGCTGAATTACCAAGTCTAGGTCAGAGGTTCAACTCTGGCCCATGAGGTACACCAGACCCGTTAAGTCACACTTCCTAAGTAAAGTGCCTAGGCATTCTTTTTTAAGTCACCAGATGAGACTAAATTTCTCAAACACTATGACATGGCTAATGGTAAAACCAGGAACCCAAAGATGTCTCCCCTAGGTACCCGCAAAAGATCTTGACAGTAGTATTTAGACATTTATTTTTAGAGCTCATCTGCTCTAAGACATTAGTAGACTAAAGTTTCACAAATTCTTAGCAAGATTAGGATAAGACTTTTGAAATACCACATGAGAAGTTACAAAACCCTCAGGTCACCAATAACTGCCACCATTAATTGAATGGAATAAGAGACAACCAGGTGGGAGACAGTCTAGATTCTAGTCATCCTTACCCTGAGCCTCAATTTCCATGACATATTCCAAGGCAAATAGCTACAAAGCCACATGTCTACTGGTTTTGGCAGTCTTTTTCCACACAAAGTTCATCATTTGCTAATGGCTTTTTTTCCTTCACCTGAAATAGTTATTTATTGCTTTCCCTGGTGTACCTCCTCAGAAGTACTGGTAGCAATGACTATGTGCTTGACATCATTTTGTTTGTGTTTTTGGTAACAGCCTGGTGAGCCTCCTGAAGTGGAGGACAGGGAAGTAAAGATGTATATCAACCCAACAACTCTTTACCGAGGAGGTGAGCCTGTAACATGTGGGGGATAAAAAGCCATACCATGATCTTGAGAATGGTATCTATGAAGCTTTAAGATACAGTCCTTTTGCTCTCTTGCAAATTTCAACTTGACTACTGTGCAGATAAGTGAGGAGAGACTATCACCCCTTGCACTGATAGGGGCCAGTCAAGGGGTGATAGCAAGGGGGTGGGGTAAGGAACTGGGCAAACCCTACAGAGTTGGCCTCTGGTCAACTCCCTACTACAACTGATAACATTTCTTTGCACAGTATTCCCAGGTTGAGAGCACCTGTGCTAAGGGCCAGGGCAGGGCCACCAAGCCTTTACCAGCCCACATGGCTTCCTTTCTCATCACCTAAAGGACTCTGTGGTATCTGCTATACCTCTGGTGAACAAGACCTGCATTAGGCCATGACCCGAACTTTCATATGCCATCAGTCTCTGTCACACTCCCAAAATGCCAAGGACATGCACACAGTACACCATCCCCACGTAGCCAGCATTCTCTTGCTCAAGGACTCAAATTCCTTATCTTTAAAATGAGGTTCCTACTCACCCTGTTAACTCAGTTGATATGATTATCAAAGAAAACCAAACAAATCATGCACATTGCAAAACATGAAGAAACTTTCCATTCCATTTTCCACTTCTTTATAAAACTGGGGTAGAATTTCCCAACCCCTGCTCCATAATCTTTAAAATCCCCTCATTCAAGGAGGGGGAAATGTGGCAGAGTTGTAGAGACAAGTCCCAAGACAAATGGAAAACCTGTCTGGATTTCCTCTGCTCATGCTGTAGCACCGTCTGTCCCCACACCAGCACGAAGCAGCAAGGAATGGGAAAGATTTAGGTGCTCTGGAGGGCTGGCAGGGAGCAGCCAGGCCAGATTCCTCTCCATACCCATATCTGAGACAGTACACTGTTAACCTAATGAAACCTTCAGGGCATATCTTCAGATGTGTAAGGAATAATGTAGTAGCTACTCTCACAAATGAACACAATTTAGATCCTATCCCTTCATTAAACAAATGCCAATAAACCTATAATACTACTGTTTTCAATCTCAAAATCTGAGTGTTAAAATACCTTAGCACTGGTGATTGATCCAAAAGGAGAAAACTCTTTCCTTAATTTCTCATCATCAATAGTGTCATCCAAGTTCTTAATGTAGAGATTCACCCCCTGAAGGAGAAGGATCACTGTTAATTGTACTTCTATACCACACATGTTCCCTAAGACAATGGTTCCCAAAGTGTGGTCTCCAGACCAGGAGTGCTAGCATCTTTGGGAACTTGTTAGAAATGAATTTTCAGGCCGGACTCCAAACCTAATGAATCAGAAACTGTGGGCTGCAGTCCAGCCATATTTTTAACAAGCTCTGCTGATGATTCTGATGCAAGCCCAAGGGTGAGAAACCACTGCCCTGAAACTGAGGGGACCATCAGTGCAGTCCCATGTTATCTCCCCACCTCCCACAGCTGCTCTGGCCCACCATTCACTCCAGCAGGGTTCTTCTTGCCATCATGCCAAACAAAGGGACATCATGTAAGTAAAAAGAACCTACATGGCTAAGGAGCAACAGGCTGAAGCTTCCAGAACAGCAAGCCCCTCAATGAAAAAATTCATCTCTTTTGCCCCTGGTTCTATAATTGCTGCCATATCTGGTAGGTGTATATCTTTTTAAACCTGATCTTGGGGAAAATGAGAGGAAGAGCAGACTCCAAGTCACTGAAGAGAAAGCCTGCTAAACGTAAGGGTGCTTTGCAAATATTTCATAGCAAATCCCGTTGGGAGGCTGGGCCAAGACCATCTTACCTGATATCGACTAATTCTCTCCTGTTTCAGCTGCTCAAATTTCCGTTTTAACTCTGCCTGCCGTTCCACTTTCTTCTGAGCACGGCCTACAAATATGACTTTACCACTGATTTCTTTTCCATTCATCTCTTCCACAGCCTAGAGAGGAAATATATGTCTTTAAAATCAAGTTGCAGAGACAGGGGTCTTTTTTAGGAGATAAGTCCCACCAAATACTGAGAAAGAAATCTTTCCTATAGGGCTAAAAACTAACTTCATTCCACTTCTGAAGCCTGCTAAACAAATCCAACCTTCCTTACCTGTAAAGTGTGGTTAATATTTAAATAGGTTATTAGTCCAGATAATATAGGAAAAACAGTACAGTTGCATAAAGACAAGCATGGTGACGTGAGCCTAGGTTGTAATCTGACTGTCAATAAATTTCACAGGTTCTTTTGTAGGTATTTACAAATGCTGAAGGCCCAGCACAATCCTTTGCCCATAAATAGCTGCTATGATGTTAACCAATCAGCAACTCTCAGGGCTTTAGTCCCCCCCCTCCTCACCTTTGAAGGGGAAAAAAACATCTTATTCATGTCCTATTCTTTCAAAAGCTGGCAGCTGAGGTAACAGCTATGTGCCAAGTGCTTTGTAAACAATTAAACGATATATTAACATGTGCAAGCTCCTCAGGAAGAGGATTCCAGAGTACAGTAACTGTACATCCACTACTAGATACTCAGGTCCTTCCAGCTCTGCTCTACGGTGTTCTAGCAAGGCCCTGCCCATACTCTGGGGCCACCTCCTACAAAGGTTTTCCTGACCCTTGTGGTACTCTCACCTTATTGGCATCCTCGTGTTTTTCGTAACTGACAAAGCCAAAGCCTTTGGATTTCCCACTGGGATCTCTCATCACCTTGACACTTAGTGTCTTACCTATTACCAAAGGACAGAACAATTAATAACATCATTTCTAACACAGCTCAAGGAGAAAAGGCTTCTTTCTCTCTAGGAACCCACTTGAAGCAAATCTCTGGCTGAACCAGATGGATCCTAGGGGACATGTGGGGCAAAGGACCCTCTACTTACCAAACTGGCTGAATAGCTCTTTCAGACTCTCATCATCCACCTCTTCCCCAAAGTTCTTGATATACACATTGGTAAATTCCTTGGCTTTGGCTCCAAGCTCAGCTTCCCGCTCTTTGCGAGACTTGAATCTGCCCACAAACCTAAAAAGAAACCACAAATAACAATGATCACTAGAGAAATAAAACCTGATTTCCTGGGGCCCAAAGGAATACAGGTTAAAGGCTGACAGGAGAAGTTAAAACACATGAGGTCCCCATCCACCACTGAAAGAGTAAGCTCAGAAATGCCCCAAATCGCCAGCAGAAAAGAGGCAGGACTATCCTGTAAGAAGCAAGCCCAGGACTCCTGGCTCAGACCAGGGCTACTCCTACCACACCACATTGCCTTCATGAAGAAACCTGATGACCATGTTTTTAAAACATTCATTTCTGTGCAACTATGTAAATGCACAGAAAAGGTCTGGAAGAATACAAATCAAACTGTTAACAGTGGTTAATCCTACGAGGAGTGAGATCATTGGAGAGGCATCCTTTGTTTTTTATTTTTTATTTATTCACTTTGGTACTGTTATACTTAATAGGAAAATGTATCCACACACTGAAAATTTTCATATTTCTTTCCAGTGATACCTATAGATCAATCACTGGCCACATGGACATTATAAACACAACCTATCCTCTGGTCTGTTCAACAACACAAAGGACAGGCCTGCCGCAGTGGCTCACGCCTGTAATCCTAGCACTCTGGGAGGCCGAGGTGGGAGGGTCAGTCAAGGTCTAGAGTTCAAAAACGGTCTGAGCAAGAGTGAGACCCTGTCTCTACTAAAAATACAAAGAAATTAATTGGCCACCTAAAAATATATAGAAAAAATTAGCCGGGCATGGTGGCGCATGCCTGTAGTCCCAGCTGCTCGGGAGGCTGAGGCAGAAGATTGCTTGAGCCCAGGAGATTGAGGTTGCTGTGAGCTAGGCTGATGCCACGGCACTCTAGCCCGAGCAACAGAGTGAGACTCTTGTCTCAAAAACAAACAAAAAAACACACACACACAAAGGACAAAAATTATTTTTGTTTGTAATAGCCAAGACTTATTGCTCCTTTTCCTTCCCATATGGCTTTGCTAAGTTACCCTCTTCTCCATTCTACAGTAACAACTAAAACAAAACAAAAGTCTGTTATGAAATGTCTCTGCAAAGGATGAGATTTTTCATTGTAACCAAATTAAGTATTACTGTGGAGCCAGCCTTGTATTAGATCACTGAGTCATAATGGAGAACTAGAGGGACAATTTGGCATTAACTAGCAAGACCCATGGACAGACCTGAGTCACAGGAAGGCCAAGGTTGCATAGCTAGTATGCAGCTCCTGGTCAGTCCAGGGCCCTCTCCACTCTGCCACTGGCCAAGACCCCCGCTCAGAGTGGGCTTAGAGCTGCCTTCCAGCCAGCCCTAGTTGCCGATGTTCACAAAACCCATTGACGAATGCCTTTGAGGGAGAGGCGGCAGGCAGGCCATGGCTTGGGCAGGAAGCCCACCTTGGCGAGTCAAAAGGGCTGCCACAGCTCGGGCAGGGAGACTCACCAGCCCTGGAGTGGAGAGGTAGGAGCAGGCCACACTTGGGCCGAGAGAACCAGTAGCCGCCTTGTGTGTGCCAGTTAATACCAGGTGGGGCCACAGCTGGCTCATGCGATGGTTGTTGCTCCGGACTGGGACACTCACACTTTGCGGTCATTGAGGAGCATGCCATTCATCTTCTCGATGGCCTTGTCGGCAGCCTCTTGGGTTTCGAAGTGGACAAAAGCATAACCCTTAGCTGACTTCCCCGCCAGGGTTCTCCGGAGAGATTCGCTTTTTCTTTCCTTTCTATTATCTTTCTATTATTTTATTAATATATGAAAGCGTATATGTACCGGGTTTTTTTTTATCATTAATATTCTCTCTTATATCTATCCAGGCTGCTAAAGCCCAGAAAAGCAGAAGGAGGGACAGCGACCAGAGGGCGAAGAAGAGCAAGCCCGGACTGGGGCGAGCCAACCGCATACCTATTTCTAATAACCCGCGCGCCCCGAGAGCGCTGCCTAGAGATCGAAAGGAGCGAGCCTCCGCGACACGACCCCAGTCGTGGCCCCGGCCCACTCGGGGGCCCGGGGGCCGAGAGCGGACGGCGCCACGCGAGAAGCGACCCGCGGCGTTAACAACACGCGCAGGCAGCCCACAGCAGACCACCATGGCGAGCGAAGAAAAGGACTGCGACCCACCGCTCTCGTGCGCACGGGAGAACTCCTGCGCCAACCCATTGGCCTAAACGAATAAAAATGACACCATAAGAGCAAAAACCACCCTAGTCTGGAATAGAATAATCATAGATAATTTAAACCCGCCCACACACATAATGTTTGAAAATACAAATGAATGACACTAATTATAAAAAACCAAAGAGAACAAATATATCAAAAATAACCAATTTATAACGAAATTACTATAAATAATTAGGAATATTCAATAGCGCAAATGTTTGGCGCACCCAATCAATACCGATGCAGAAAACTGTTGAAATTTTCAGAGTACTGTGACGTAGAGGTACAGCTTCTCGACGACTAAGATAATGACCAGGATTTAGAAAACTCCATGAGAGAGAAAGAGAGAGAAGAGAAGAACCAGGCGTGAGTGCGCAACACGCCTTAATAACCTAGCACATACCTGAACCTGCGCGCGCAGCGCGCGCGCGCCCCCGCTGCGAAGCGGTAGCCATCAAAAAAAGGAAAGGTCAAAGAAAGTTAGCAAGAGAAACCAGCCTGAGCCAAGGGAGTGATTACCCCCTGTCTAAGCTACATATAAATGCCAGAAAGAAAAAATTAATTGGCCAACATGTACAAATATATATAGGAAAAAATAGCCGTGCATGCGTAGTAGCAAATAAACCAGTATCTATAAGTACCAAATAACGGAGGCTGAGCAGGAGATCGCTGAGCCCAGGATTTGAGTTGCTGTGAGCTAGGCTGAAACCGGGCACTCACTCTAGCCTGAGCAACAAAGTGAGACTCTGTCTCAAAAAAAATAAAAAAGAAACAACACAGAAACATCATGGGACCTATCACTTTTTCTGAAGATGAAACACATTTTGCGTAAACGGTCATATTAAAAAAATACAATCTTTCCTCTATTTACATGTTAGTGACAGTCGCTGAAATTTTAGTTGCATTCGAGACATAAAAAATCCTTCTGGCGGCCTGTGGCTCACGCTGTAACCTAGCTCTGGGAGGCGAGGGCGGGCGATTGCTCAAGGTCAGGAGTTCAAAACCAGCCTGAGCAAGAGCGAGACCCCGTCTCTACTATAAATAGAAAAAATTAATGGCCAACTGATATATATAAAAAAAAATTAGCGGCATGGTGGCGCATGCCTGTAGTCCCAGCTACCTGGAGGCTGAGGCAGAAGGATCACTCGAGCCCAGGAGTTTGAGGTTGCTGTGAGCTAGGCTGACGCCACGGCACTCATCTCAGCCTGGAGCAACAAGCGAGACTCTGTCTCAAAAAAACAAAAAAAAAAAAAATACCTTCGCCGAGCCGGTGCCTGTAATCCTAGGCACTCTGGGAGGCCAATGCGGGCGGGAGGTTGTCGTTGGTCAGGTACGTTGGGGAAAACCAGCCTGAGCAAGAGTGAGGCCTCGTCTCTACTATAAATAGAAGAAATTAATTGTGTCCAACGCTGATAGTATATACGAAAAAATTAGTCGGGCGCATGTGGTGCATGCCTGTAGTCCAGCTACTCGGGAGGCTGATGCAGTAGGGATTGCTTGAAG